GAACCACCTTCCAATACGGATTAAGTTCGTAAGTCGAGACCTCACTGTACGTCGTTTGCAGCCTTGCGTTCGCACCAATTCCAGCTCTCTCCGACGTCACCCTGCCTTTGAGTGTTCCTTTTTCTTCTGTTGCTATTCTTTGGGTTTTATCCCCTGTTGTGACAGAGCTGGAAACTTGAAGCGGACACCTGTTCTTCTTTCTCTGCCGCCATTTTGGATCTCAGATCTGCTTTGGCATGGGGATTTGTGGCCGAAACCTGCATTTCACCTGTAATTTCCCCCTCAAACGGGACAACCTGCGACTACATCTCTATCTCCAGGTCGAACTCACAGGGTCAACAGAGCATTTTCAGTCATGCCGGAGACACACGATCTCTAGACAGATGTAGTGTTTCTCAGGAAGTGCCAATAAGTACGGTTCACCTTAAAAAAAAAACAGAAGATGGAAAAGCAAGACTCTAAGAGAAATAAAGATTATAACCAGCATCTTTGCTGCTCCATGCATGTGGCATGATTTTCTGCTAACACAGATTTAACCCACATCCAGCCCAAGGACTCGGAACTCTTCTTCCTTATTCTAAACTCAGTGGTTCCCAAACTTCAAGTCCCCAGATGTTCTTGGACTAAAACTCCCAGAAGCCCTCACCATCAGCTCTGCTGGCCAGGATTTCTGGGAGTTGTAGTCCAAGAACATCTGGAGATCCAAGATGGGGAAACACTAATTCACAAGTGGGCACACTTTACAGTCCAAAACTCAATTCAGCTCCATAGCTCAACTTTCATTTCTCCCCTAGTCTCCCCCAGGCAGTTCCCCCCCCCCCCCGTCTTTCTTTGCTCTTCCCAGCCCGCCCACCTCCCTGGTGGTCCCCAAACTCAATAAAACACACAGGAGGGAAAAAGCCTTCTCCTACCCTTTCATCACACCCTGTAAATCAGGATGGGGTGACTTTTTAGAGCATGGGGGGGCAATTTTGTGATCCCCTGCAAGCCCCCATGGAGGGGCTTTGCACAGGCCATTAGACATGAAACGTAAAGATGCTGGAAACTGTCAACCTTTTTCTACTTTGGAAAAAAAAGTATTTTGGGGGTGCTGCACAACGCAAGGGGGTGCCATGCTCTGTTTAAAAGGAGGATCTCTGCTCTTGGTTGGGGGGGGAGGCTTTCAGGAATTGCACGTTCACATTTTCTTTTCTTCTTTTTTTTCTGAATAAAATAAAATAAAATAGGGCACCTCTTTGGGGCCAGAAAGATACCTGGGGAAAGGACTGCACACTGCTCTGGGGTCGTTCTTTGCTCACCCCTCCAGTGGAAGACACTTTATTCTTCTTACGCCACTGTCCCCATCCAGCACAACTATTACTTTACCATGACGGTTTTAAACGCTTTTTAAATTTATATATTCTTTAAAACAATTGTCAATATTTACTCCCGCCCACGCACCCATCCCATTCCAGACTAGTGCTACCTGCAATCCTTTACACCAGGGATCCGGTCCGGGTTGCATGCAAAAGCCCCATAGGAAACTGCTGATGCTGCTCCTCTTCCTTCACGTGCAGGGCTATCGATAAATGTCGGATCGCACTCAAATGCATATAAAATACATCTATCGGGGTTGCCCTTTGGCTCCCCTGCACGATTGTGGCAAGGCTGAGCCACGTGGAAAAAGAGGGCTGGGTTGCAAAGAGACAATGCAGGCGATCTCCCCCTTTTTTCCTCCCCCCCACCCCAAACTCCGGCCCCGCTTTCGTCGCACTCTCCCGAACCCAAAAAACAGCGTTTCGCGTTATATAAATCCTCCCAAAATAAAGATCACATGAGAAGGAAAATTGGAGGGGGGGCGGAACCCGATATCCCTAGGCCAAGCTTCCCTCCCACCCACAAAAGAAAAGGGACAGGAAAGGACCCGACCACCGCGGGGCGCACACAGACAAACCTCCTCCTCTTCGGTGCCACTCTGGGAAGGGAGACTCGCTGGGATTAACCCTTTCAGGGCCGCTTCTCTCAAAGGAATTGGAGAGAGAGAGAGATGTGGGTATAATTTGAATACAGAACAAGATAAAGGTTCTAGGTGGGCAAAAGACCACCACCAGCAACAGCTCTCTGGTTTAACCTATCGGACTCCCAAGTTAGTTAATGGTTGCATAGACCAAATGGGCGGGATACAAATCAAATCAAATCAAATCAATCAATCATTTTTGACGGGGTGGCTCTAAGAAGATAAGTGTCCTGCAGAAAAGGTTTTTGACTCAAGAAAAGACCACTGGAAGAAAAAGTTTCTTTGTTTTCAAAGAGCCATATAATGTTGTCTCATTGCTGGAACCAGTTGTATTGGCTCTTGCCTTTCCATTGGACCATTTCAGCAATGTGGAGAGGGGGGATCTGCTGCTTGGGTAACAGCCTATTCTCCATATTACCTTACCCGGGCTTCATGCTCTGGAGAGGACACTCCTCGATTCAGAGCATGTTACCATAGTCTCTCGAGACTGAAGGATGCCTATGAAGAGGCCTTCTCTCTCTCTTGTTTTCGTTGCCTTCCTGTAATTTTTTTTATCAACACAAGAAAGCAAGACTCTCCAGCAAAGAGAAATGTGTTGGAACACGTAGATAGCAGGAGAAGAGGCTACATTAGATCAGAGATGGACTGACTCCATGAAAGAAGCCATTGGCTTTTAGTCTGCAGGACCTGATCCAGGCTATTAATGAAAGGGTCTTTTAGAGGTCACTAATTTATAGGATTCATGTCGAGTCAACAGCAACTTTGGAGATACTGAGCAGCAGAGTTATTTAAGAAGAGCTAGTTTTTTTAAATTTTTGTATGTGGAAGGAGGGGGCAAAAGGAGGATTCTTTTATTTTCTCTGCAGTAGTTTTGTAAATATTTCTAATATCACAAGAGGGAGACAGACACTATTTCTCTGTCCTGTTAAGTAAGAAAACTTGAGAGTTATAATGATACCAAATGTAATTAATCACTTACAGGATTACAGCAGTCATAACTGCAGCCTGGCTATCAAGCAGGAATAAAGTACTGTAGCTATTTCCTTTTCGGACTTAATGTCACTATGGTGCTATGTATTTTAATATTACTAGTTTTAATAATACTTTCTTGCTCATGCTGTTTAACACAATTGTCCTTTAATGACATAGTTTTAAATTTATTTATTCTAATTTCCTCCCGGAACTGGCTCCAAAGGTAACTCATGAGAGGATTAAAAAAAATAAAATAGCTACAAATAAAAGGATACGTTACACTATCAAAGCATTGTTTGAAAAATTAATATACTAGGTTAAAAACCAATTTAAAAGAACATAATTAAAAATATTAAGTGTTTTAGTGAATCAATTCGTTTCTTTTAATTGTATTTGAACTTTAGACCTTTCTGCATTTTTTATTATCTTTACCTGGCTTTTAAGCATCTTGTTCAGCCACAGCCCCAGTCCCAACGCTGACGAGAAAACAGGTAAAAGACTCCTCTCACAGACGACTTCATTTTTAGGCACTTCTAATTTTTAATTGGTTTCTATAATATACAGTATCTTCTTACTGTTATATCTTGAAAAAAAAGAGGTCAGCATCAGCTGCTGGGGGTCAAAAGTGAAACAAAAGAAAAGATTTCCATTCCATGAAAGCAGAATGGCATTAAGATATGTGTGTACCAAAATTAAGAATTTAATGAAGAAAACAGAAAGGGTGGTGTGTGTTTTTTGCATCAAAATATGTTACCTACCTCTATAGCCAAGAGCACATGCATGAACCCAAATGGAATTCAACACCTTTCCATTAAACCGAACAGACCCTTCATTCACTCACTGTAGTGCATAGCTTAAAGCAGAGCCTTAAAAAAATTAACTCCATCTCTTTTTTGGGGGGGATTACAAATCCCATGTGGGCTCTGTGTTAAAGATGATCATTCTGAAATGGACATTCATCACACAAGCTAGATCCCTCACCAACAGGCCATGAGTTTTCAAAAAAAAAAGGGGGTCTTATGTGTTAGCCCGTTTGCTCCCTGGAGCAGAGCGGGCATCCGTCATGCGCCACATCCGTTAAGCTTGACTCCATGCGGAAAAAAAGGACTGGTCCCCCTTCGCTCGCGATCTGGGAAACCATCTGCTTTTGCCCAGCGCAACTCTAGCCCTGCAGGAAAGGCCCTCGTGTGGTTATATGCCGACGTTGCAGGCCACGCACCACACAGCATGAATTTCCCCAATCTGGTACATCTTCTGGATGAGCATGACCTACAACTCCTCGGCAGGTGGGCTGAAAAGGTGAGAGGCGGGATGGGAAAGTGGTGCCAGGAGCCACCCCTAGAGTCAAGGCCATGAGACATCCTCCTCCGAGGTCTTAGGAGGCTTCTTTGGATGATGCTGGTGGCGGCTGTTCGTGCTGCCCTGTGGCCAGCTGCTGTTCCTCTTCCATTCTGAGCAGATTTAAAGCTTCCCTGGCGTGGATCTTCTGATGTTTCACCAGGACAGTCCGGTGGGTGAACCTTTTTCCGCAGGTGGCGCACTCGTGCGGCCTCTCCCCCGTGTGGACCTTCTGGTGCCGGATGTGGACAGCCCGGTCCGAGAAGCACTTCCCGCAGGTGGCACACTTGAAGGGCTTCTCGCCCGTGTGGATCCTCTGGTGCACCATCAGGATCTGCCACTGGCTGAAGCTTTTCCCGCACTCAGAGCAGTTGTATGGCCTCTCCCCCGTGTGGACCCGATAGTGCTTGACCAGCTGGGAGGAGGTGTTGAAGGATTTCTCGCAATCTGGGCATTTGAAGGGCTTCTCCCCTGTATGGGAGCCCTCGTGTTTCTTGAGGCTGGAGCTCCGGCTGAAGCCTTCCCCACACTGTCCGCACTTGAACGGCTTCTCCTTCACATGCAGTTTCTGGTGGTTGAGGAGCTGAGATTTCTGCGGGAAGCTCTGGTTGCAATCCGAGCAGTAGAACGGCTCCTTTTCGAGGTGGACCCGATAGTGTCTCGTGAGCACCGAGCTGACAGTGAAGCTTTTCCCACACTGATCGCATGTATACGGTCTTTCCCCCGTGTGGGTCCTCTCATGGGCCACCAGAGTGGACTTGAAGCTGAAGCACTTCCCACAGTCTTTGCACATGAACGGCTTCTCCCCCGTGTGGGTTCTCTGATGGGCCGCCAGCACCGTGCACCGACTGAACGTCTTCCCACAGACGCCGCAGGTCTTCTTCCCCCGACTTCGACGCCTTCTCTTGACAACCACAGGCTGGCTCGCGTCGCCGTCCTCCCGTAGAGGGGAGAGGACCTGCACGGCTTTCTGAGCTTGGCAGTTCTCGCTTCGCACCGCAGATCCATCGTCACGACTTGCAGAAGCTTCTCCACCGTCCTCTTGGCACCAGGCGGGTCTTGCCCAGGGTTTCCCTTGAAGCTTCTCTAGCTCTGGAGCACCTGCTTGAGGGCCCTCCCGTCTGGTCTCAATCATCCAGTCATCTCCTGCTGGAAACAACAGTAAAAACAACTGCATAACTACAGAAGATCTGCTGGCAGGGTTCAAAAGCTTATCGACACATTCTGAGTCCACAGTGGCCTGCCAGTTGTCTATGGGAAGCTCATGAGCAGGGTGTGATAGCAGTAACACCCTCCTGATTTTTTCCCCAGCGTATCCTCTCTGAGGGCAGCCACTGTCATGCCTGATACAGTGGGGTCTTGACTTGAGAACTTAATCCGTATTGGAAGGCGGTTCTCAAGTCAAAAAGTTCTCAAGTCAAATCTGCATTTCCCATAGGAATGCATTGAAAACCATTTGATCCGTATCTGCTCTTTTCCGTCCATAGAAACTAATGGGAAGGAGGAGGGGAGGAGCCACGAGCAGCGAAAACAGGGGGATCCCAGAGCTCTGGATTCTCCTGGGTTTTACTCCGAGACAGAGGACCCCTCCAAGAGAAGGAGGGGGCGAGCTCCATGGGAGAGTGGAGCCTGATTGCAAGCGGGGGCTTCGGAACCACCGAATCGCAGATGGCAGTCTGTTTTCGGAAGAGTTCCTTTCCTGCAATGCGACCTGTCTCGTGAGTCGCCATTTTATGGTGAGTTAGCTGTTCGGGGGGGAGGCATCGAGACTTATTTGTCTGACTGCAGAACGAAGAGAAATGGACTGCTGCTAAACCACAGCAAGTAACAATTATAAATCAATTATTGGTAACCTGATGAGAAGGTCTCAAGCGGCATTAACTCTAACGCCCTGATGATTGAAGTCTTTTCCACCTACGCCACAGTGCAGAAACGAAACCAACTGCTTTTCTTCTTTCTCCCTTCTGAACCCTCCCCCTAGAGAAACTGGCTTCTCAGAACTCTAAATAACTTCTCACAATTTAACCTAAGTGACTCTATATCGGGCACAAGGCACAGGCGCCTAATTACCCCACTACAAGACTTTAAGTGTGGATTAGCCAATAAATCACTTGGAGAATTTGAGCAATTAACCTGTCGATGACTACGGACATGGAAGGAGGGGGAGAATTACCATCGGAACTCATGATGCACTACTTTAAAGAACTTCTTCAAGAATTCCAAATGAACATTGTTGACCATTTTAAAAAACAAATTAACGAGTTTAGAATAGATCTGGACATGGCTCTCCCTGCTCAGCGAGGAAAGATCGACTGCAAAGATAAAGAACCTAGACAAATTTTGTTGGAGCAACCTTTGAGGCGAGAGGGGGAGGTCGCTTCTCAGCAGGGAGAAAGCAGACAGGCACCCTTTTCACTGGCCAACAGTTAACTGAAAGTTCAAATTTTGCACTTTCCCTGCCTCCCACGTGGTTTTTTTTCAGTTCTTAACTCAAATCTAAGTACTTAAGTCAAGTCAATATTTTCCTATGAGAGTGGTTCTTAAGTCAAAATGTTCTTAACTCGAGCCGTTCTTAAGTCAAGACCCCACTGTAATCACTAACAGCCCTTTCTTTCTCTATGAATTCATCTGGTGCCATTTTTTTGCAAGAATGTATCCCAGGATCATCTGAAATTCAGGCCGAATATCACACTGCACCCATGTTCACCTGTGTGATCTCCAACCGGCAACTGCACAAGCCAGAAATGTCTCACTGGAATTAACAGGATTTGCCCCCCCCCTTGCAACTCATTGGGCTTTTTAGGGAGGTGCATTTTAGATCTTTGGAATCCTGTAATTCTCCTTTCTGTGACTCTGACCTTCCTTATACAGACCTTACAGATAGCTAAATTGTGCTCACCTGGACGGAAGCCTGGCTGGCAAACTTCCTTCCCTTGGGTAGGCCTAACTTCCTGTCCTCGATGGTTGCTGGGAAGCTACCTTTTCAAACAGGAAGTGAGGCCTATACAAGATAGGAAGTCGGCCAGCCTAGGGCTTATCCATAGAATGGTCTCCAAGAAAGGAGGATTATTGGTTTTTTTGTAGTTAAAAAAATACAAAATGCACATCTCTAGGGCTTATACTTTTGAAAGGAGGTACTGACTCCCTCTTTATGGAAGCTTGAGAAAAGTGAAACCACGGTACAAGCCACAAAATCTGGCCACAGTATCTACAGGTTTCTAAGCTGATGAATTTTGGAGCTAGTGGGGTACTCCAAAGCTCACCAAAACATTCCCCAAGACATACAGAAGTGCAAAAGGAGAAAGGTGGTTTGCCATCCTAGTAAAGAAAATATTCTTTACAGTAAAGGTATGGAGGCTAAGGCCAAGATTACTCTTACTGTGGTATTTCTGGCTGCTACCTATACATTGGACAGTGGAGAAAACTGACAGGAGGGAAAACATGAATGCATTTGAAAGGTCATGTTGGAGAAGAGTTTTAAGGATACTGTGAACTGCCAGAAAGACAAATAAGCAAATTGTTGATCAAATCAAAACCACATTTTCAGAAGTTAAATGACTAAGTTGAGGTACGCTTGCACTTTGGACATATAATGAAAAGGCAAACAAATTTGCTAAGAAATGCTGGAGGGGGTAAGAAAGCAAGAAGACTGAACATAAAGAGATCAAGCCAGAACACAGTTAATGTACATTGCAGTTTAATAAACCAGCATTCCTGGCTTGATGTATGTTGTCGTTTAATAAGCTAGGATTCTTGAACATGACCAAAACCAAAGCCATAGTTCCAAACTGTGATGATCAACGCTGCATTGAACTTAAAAAAACAATAAATCTTACCTTCTGAATCCATTTCACCACCGCCCTCTTGCTTGACCTGGGAGCAACGCAGTGTCTCATCTGCCCCAAGCAAAGGTTGTTCAACTATGGGGAAACTCAAAGCCATCTCCTGGCTCTGCCCTGTCCCCTAGAAAGCAGCAACAGAATTTGCATTTAGAACCAAATAAGAGAATAAGGAGGAGGGTTTTCAAGTGTCACCTGCACAGATAGTGCCACTCTGGTGCCTGAAAACTTAGATTCATGGTGTATATCTGAAGCTTCTTAATATAGGGAGCTTGTGTTGAAGTTTCATTTACAACCTCATAGGCAGTCTGTAGCTTGAGTGACTAGAGAGACTTTTTTGGCTAGGTGACCGACTGTCTATCCAAGACTAACAAATGGTTCCTTCCACCTTCTGAATTCAAAGAGAAGCCCCACCTCTCTGTTGAGTGTTCAATCCCTCTCTGTTGTTGGTTTGTTGCTGTTGATCTGTTTGGTCAGTTGCTAGTATGTGTTCAGTAAAGAAAGCCCTACACACTAATTTCAAGCAATTGTAAGTAAATAAACTTTTTAAATTCTTTCTCCTGCCAATGTTTCAGAGTGAGTTACTGAGACTTCCAATGCTAAAATGTGCTCCCTCCCTTAAAACGGCCCTGAACAGTTTTATTAGATGTTGTTGTCTGGGAGGGTGGGGGGTTGTGGTCTAAGAGATACAACACAACCCCCAGGCACCCCCTTGCAATCCCGCTGCCAGGGCTTCGCACAGATGCCCAATTTTAAAATTTAAGGGGGCTCGGACCCCTGGCAGATTCAGGGAATCTGGAACTCTCTGGAAGTGGCTGGACTACAACACCCATCATCCCTTACTGGCTAAGTAGACACGTAGCCCAACAACAACAGGGGGTCGTGGGCTCTTAGTGAGAAACCTATTGCCCTCTGGAACCTTTGGACTTCAACTTCCATCTGCCATTGCCATTGTGGATCATGGGAACAATAGTTCAGAATATCCAGGAAAGGAAGGATTCCCCAGCTCTGGGTGTTAGGAATCAAAGCGGAACGGAAAATATCAAAATTATCTTTTTCCCACCCAAGCCTTAGTCATCAGGACTCTGTCCAAAAAATTAAACTCCCTCACCTCCTGTTTCAGACCCTCGGCCTCTCGCGATCGTGATGGGAAACCCTCCGCCAGCGCCACCGCCTGGTCGCACGTTTGAGGGCACCCCGCCTTGACCCAGTTCTGAAGCTCGGAGGGCAAGATGGCCAGGAACTGCTCCAGGATCACCAGCTCCAGGATCTGCTCCTTGGTGTGTCTCTCAGGCTTCAGCCACCGATGGCAAAGATACCAGAGGCGGCTGCAGGTCTCCCGGGGTCCCTTGGCCTCTTCGTAACGAAATTCCCGGAAGAGGGTCCGTGGCACCTCGGTGCCGGCCGAGTCCTCTCGCAGGAGATCCTCCACCTTGGTGGTCTCGATCCTGCGGCAGTCCCCAGGGGCCGCCCTGCTGAGATCTGCCAGGCCTTTGAACCTCCGGTACACTTCAGCCGCTCCCTCTAAGGAGGCCAAGCAAGCTTTGGCATTCTCCCACGGCTCCGATGTCGGCGTCTCCAGGTTTCCCCACCCCACGTTACGGGACTCAGCTGCCTTCAAAGCTGCGCGAGGGTCTAGGTATTTCAACCGCCGGTCTCCTGGATCATTTATCGTTTGGCCTCCGCTTCCTCTTTTCATGAAACCCTCCAGATTCCCAGCTTTCGTTTCAAAAGGGGTGTTTCCCATCTTCTCCAAAGGATCCTTGGCCTCCGGGCCTGCTTGGTTTTGTTCCTCCAGTTGTCTCCTAACTTGCCATTCTTGTTCGGGGCTAGCCTTGTCCTGGGAGACCATGTTTGGATTTTTCCCCTTCTCTGGCATCATTTTGTGCCTCATGACAAGAGTTTTGCCTCTGCTCCCAAAGGTATACGCTCTTCCAGATACTCGCCTTTAGCTGGAAAGCTCAAAACAATAGCAGAATGCAAAAGGAAATAGAAAAGAAAAACCAGCAGCAACAAGAAGATTCACAATCCACACACTGGGACCGAGTTATCGACCCATACTCAGGCCGGCTGACAAAATACGTCGCATGTTCTCCACTGTATTACGGATCACTGGAGTCTGTAGGCAATGAATTTTTTTCATGAGAGGAACTGATGAGAAAAACAGCTTTTCCTGGGTGGGAAGAATTAGACACACACAGATAAGAATACAAAAAAGGGGGAGATGGGTTAGCAACAGCAAGCCATATTCATATTTCCTTCAGTGAGTTAAATGGGCTCCCCACCCTTTTTTCCCCTAAAACAACATCCCTCTGAGGTGGGCCAGTCTGACACTTAGAAAATGACTCCTTGAAGGTGAATTTTATGGTTGAGACTTGATGCTGGTTTCCTCCAAAGTCCCAGTCCAGTATTCTAAACACACCATCTTAGCACCTGTGTTTCAGTGAGGAATTTCGTGGTTTGAAGACCAAACCCCATCCCGACCCAAGATATATTGTTAGCTGTGAGGTTTGTTGCTGTTGTGTTGTACCACCAAGTAGACTCCAGTTTATGGTGACCTTAACAGGGTTTCTGAGGGATGTAAGAAATTGAGGGAGCGGTTTTAGCAGACTAGATCGCTCAGTGGCTTAGGTCTCTGGCTGCCGCGCCAGAGATGATTTGGGAGTTCAATTCCCCCCACTTCGCTTCTCAGAAGAGCCAGCCTGGATGGCCTTGGGCGAGCTGCACAGTCCCCAGGGCGACCCCAGGAGGAGGGAAGGGGGAAACCACTTCTGAATACTCTCCAGCCAGAAAAACCTGGAAAGGGTCATAAAAATTCAGAATCGGCACGACGGCATGTGATTATTATTACAGCTGGCTTGTTTCTCCATAGTTTCATCATCCGGCTGCTGAGCCAGAGGTTGGGAGTTCAAGTCCCCCATGGTGTGTCCTGCAGGTCGCGCCAGCCTGTGTAGCCCTGGGCAAGCTGCACAGCCCCAGAAGCAGGGAAGGGGAAAACTAACGATTCTCTACCTGGAAAACTCTGCAAAGGCTCTCCCTGAGTCAGGATTGGCTTGATGGCAATGATGATGGGGATGATGATGGGCTTCAGGTCAAAAAGGGGACTTGGGTAACTTTCCTAGATCTGTTTCTTCAAAGCTCACCCACCCCACCCCCTTTGCCAAGGGAAAGACACGCCCTGCTGCCCCATAACCTTGCTATTTCTGCAAACGCAGCTCCAGTTGCAGGGAAACGACCCAGCTCTCTCTCTGCTTTGGGGGCTGGCCCCCTTGCAAAGGCAATCAACCGCCCCTTGCAAGGCGTTCCGCCGGCCCCTCGCTCTGCTCACCTGGCTGGAGGGCAAGTCAGCCGTCGCAAGAGGC